TAACCTTTACTTTAAAGGAACACCTCTTTATCCGTCATACTAACCGCAGCTGTGACCACATACAACCATGGCAAACACTTCATGCTTAATGTGAGATTTAGGAGATTTTTTTGAAAAGTGAAAGCTATTGTAAGTTTTTCGATCTGCCCGGGCAGGTTGTGCCGCAACTGTAAAGAGAATGTTTTACGCCTATGTGTAAATACCTGAGAGTAATACATTTTAATTAAATTTTCCCCCCTGGGATCAATGAAGTCTTATTTCTGAAAGCTTTCATTTGTAATTTATCTTCATGCAAAGTTTGCTTTATTCAAATAATGCATTTTAATATCATAAACCCACAACATCCAAATGTCATGGACTTGTGGCCGAGAAGAAAATATACATGTGAAAGCAGTCTTCTGTGCCCTGCTAGGAAACTTAACTATTCATGCAGCAGTGAAACTTTATATGTGAGAGCAGAGGGTTGCAGTCTAGCAGTCAAGGGGGTGAGGGTTGAGTGGCCCGTGACATGATCATCTCCATTGCTTTGTGGAAACAATAACACACTGAGCACTTTGTATTCTGTTAACTGAGATGATGCAAAAAAACATCATTTATTTCTTTGGAAGTATGTTTCAGGTATATCTGAATAAAATGGTTCAGTTGTGTTTACATTGTTTTGTATTGAAACAGATGGCTTATGGAGAGAAATACATAATTGATCATCTAAAGTGTCATGTGAGCACTGCCTTTTACAGAGACTTGTTTAGTTCGGTGTTTAAGGATTTGTAAATATTCGGGGTATAGGTCTAAATGAAGGCTTTATATGCTAAATTAACCTTAGTCCAAAAGGTTATAGAAATAATTTTAATTTTGATTAACTAAAGCTGCATCTTATCTCAGCATTTATTATTTATTGGCATCAGTGGACCTACAGTAGTTGGACATAAAATTAGATTTAAAAAAATATATACATTTATAAGTGGGAAAACACTGTACTAATGTGTGTAGATGCAAAATACATATAGCTTATATGCACTTGCACTCCTTAGTAAATTATGTGCTTGGAGAAAACAATAATTTCTGAAATTTGTGAAAATAATGAGTGTTACGGGTTTCTTCACGGCTAGCTGACAGGCTCCAGTGTGTTTGCATTTTTCCAACAAACCTGGCAGGTGTTGAAACACTTAACTACATAAAGAACTCATGTGATTAATACTTAATATGATAAACAATAACATGGGACTTAGATGGTTAATGTATGAAAGGAGTGACATGTGTTAACCACAATGATGTAATTAAACATTTAGGCCTATTTATCTGAGTTTTGCCACTTTGACATAAATTCATGTCGATTAATCTCATTTTTATCTGCCGATGATTTATATAGTTCACGTATATGGAATAGAATTGTGCATTATAAAAAAATAAAAGTATGTCTGCCTTTGTCTGTAACTTTACTGTATAGCCTAGCATATGCATGCCATATTCAACTGTCTTTCAACAGTCAACCACTTCTAGTTCAGATAAACGCTTCAGGCACTTTTTTAGTCAGGCATGAGGCCGTCCTGCAAAAATGTAGCAAGCCTATTAAAATGCTGCAGGAATTTAACAGAGTCAGTGTGAGTGATGAGACAGATATAGCAACTGGACCCAGCAGTACAACAGGAATGTATCTATGAAGAGTTTATAATAGTATTTAAAAACCTTCCTTATATGACCTCAATCCAGCTAGAACAACTGATAGATTGATCCAACGGGCAATAATGATATAATAAGACTTTGACTAAAAATCATCCTTAATGTTCTCTTTATCTTGCTGTTTTGTAATCAACTCATGCAGATGTAATAGGCCTGGGGAATATCAATGAAAGCAACCCTGCCATTTGACCGATTACCTTAGAATAATTAAGCTGTATGCTGTGAATTGTAGTCGTTATTTTTATTTAACGGTTGCACATTGTATAATTAGACCTCATGAAGAACATTTTAGTGCTTCTTTTCTGGACATCAAAAAAGTCCAAAATCAAAGACATTTGTTTCTTCCTAATACAACAATACAAGCATGGCAGCTGCGGATCTATAGTAGCCTACCTACCTTGCTATAACTAGGTCTATCAAACCAAGGGTGAAAAGGGCAAAGCCTTATGGGTCCCGTTTTGGTTGTTAGGGTAACTTCAAGTAAGTATTAAAGACTGTTTGAGTTTTTGAAGAGGTGGATAGAGGTGCAATACACTACTTGGCCTACATAATATTTTACAACTATAAGAAATATACGCAGACTACTAGGAATAAAAATACCCAGTATCTTCCCAAAATTACTTTGTCGTATGCATTTATTGTAGTTTAGCGCCACCTGTCTGTCATGAAATAAGCAATTCAAACTCGCACCTCATGAAGTGAATTTATTCACGTACGTGTTATAATTATAATTAGCCGAATGTTGATTCTGATTTAATTTGCTGTGAGATATAAATTTTCGTCCGCGTGGTTCTTTCTCAGTCGCAATACATTCAGTCTTCCATATATGTGATGACTAGGTCATCAAAGAATGTTTTACATAGCCTAATATAATAAAGCACATCGTGTTTGATTTGGATTTCTCTTATCACACCCAAAATAGATCGTATCACGGCATATTCAAAAATCTGGGAACAAATTAATATAAAGAAAATATATCAGGTTATAAATAACAGCCATAAACCATATTAATGTACAGCTAATGAAGAAAAAAAGAAAATAGTCAAGTCAAAGTCAAGGTAAAATTTATTGTCATTCGTACCACACAGTTTGAGAGTGCATGGTAGAACGATATTGCGTTTCTCCTGGCTCAATGTGCAAAACAAACAGAAATACTACAGGCTACATACAATACACACAATACAACACAGAACTACACAGAGAACAGAACTACACGGAGAACTACTATTCAGCACAGAGGTAAATCTCGTGCAGAGTAAATAGTGCTCAAAGTTAAAATTTGCAAGTCAAAATATTGCAGTTAAATATTGCAGTCAAATTATTGCACAGTCAAATATAGCAGTGTCTCACTGTTGCCATATTATAGCAGAGTGTACGTGCAAATTACTAATAGGTAGTAGCAGCAGAGTATAGTAAATATGAAAACATGTTTTAGTGTGTGTTATGGAAATGTTTCATTATATGAATATGTAGTGCATTATCGACAATACAATATGTAGTGCATTGTTCACAATAGAATATGTAGTGCATTGTTCACAATAGAATATGTAGTGCATTGTTCACAATAGAATATGTAGTGCATTTATTAAAGTGAGTTTAGATGTCTCATGGCCTGTGGGAAGAAGCTCTTGCTCAGCTGTGCAGTCTTACATCCCATACTGCGGTAGCGTTTACCGGATAGCTAATTTCTCAAAAATAGTGAAAATAGTGGGTTGTTCAGAAGCTTTTTAAGTATGTTGATATGTGTGCACCTTAAATTTGATATGGACAAGAATAGAATAGAATAGAATAGAATAGAATAGAATAGGTACTTTATTGATCCCCATGGGGAAATTGTCTTTTTGTCTATACTATCTTGCCCCCCATGAAACACACAGACAGACATACAGGTGAGCACAAGCTCAAGAGTAACAGCAGCCAGCTTGCACTGTCCCTGCAACAATTGGGGGGTCAGGGCCTCATTCAGGGACTCAACTGTGGCAACAGGGGGTTCAGGGGCCTAACAAGCTGAGCCACACACTGCCCCCCAAATCAATGGACACAATGATTATTATCATGTTATCATTGGTGGTGTGCGGGTCAGCTGGTCAAGAGACTGCACCTGTAATTGGAAGGTTGCAAGTTCAAATCCCAGGTTTGGCAGGTTGATTTCACCATTGAGCCCATGAGTGAGACCCCCTAACTGCCAACTGCTCTAAGTGCTGTCTGGCCCTGATTTCTCAACAAAAAAGGTATGTCCCTTTGCATTAAAAATCTGCTAAATAAATAATCTATAAAACTATATCACCGACAACAATAATAGTGTTGCTCATTGCACATCATGAATGACCAATAAAAAAGACATGCTTGGAAGAACATGGCCAGCAATAGACTCAATTATCACAAAAATTAACATGTCATCTGGAAAATCAAGACAGATGATAAGACCTCCTGAAAAAATTAAATATTATTACTATTTTGTTGCTCGTTGCACATAATGAATGACCAATCAGTAAAAATGAACCGGTGTAAGAGCGCTATATGCCCGGTAGAGGGAGTCACACGCCAATTTGTATTTCACATATTTAAAGGTAATCAATTTAAGAATTTTAATATTATGAGAGGAAACTTAACAATGGTACTGGACTGTTATCTTAATACTGACAGTTCTTGATCCTTTGTCAAAAACATTTTTTTTTCTGGACAATGAAGAACCGTCCAAAACAATTAAATTAATAGGCCTATTTGATTACTTTTAAAATTCGTTGTTAGGTTCATAAACTACTTAAATTTCTTATTGTCTAATAAGCTCAACTATTTGGTGATGCTAATAAGATTGTGAATAGTTACCGGTTTTAAAACCAAACAGAAAATAAAATAACCAGCCTGTACAGTTGACACAGAATGTAAAAATATATAGAATATCCTACGTAGAAACATTTCAAGACTTCACAAATTGAAAGCAACACATATTACATTCACAAGAAAAATGCGCTTAGCAGGCATTTACAATCAATATTTCTGTCGTTAATTCAGCAAACGTGCCCAATTAAAAAGTCAACATATAAAGGATCTGCTACCCTCTGAATTTCCCTTATTTAACAATAAACTTAAAATTTAAATCGGATCATCTCGGCGTATTCCTTCGTATCGCACAATTAGGGTGAGGAACTGCAGCACAAAGAAGGTCTTTGTTACAGTCAGTAACCGCGACTGCGAATCGGTGGTGCAGTCGGGGAGTGCAGCGCGCCAGCCACACCAGGGGGGTCTTTGTGTCTAAAAGATGCCTCATAATCAGCTCCTTTTCTTCTTTCATTCTCTTTTTCGCAAACGGGTCCAATTGTGCATACCTATAGAGAAATAATAGCGTTTAAAATCGCTATAATTCCAGCTGATGTGTTTAAAGCGTCAACAGGGGATACACTACTGGGAGCCGAATGAGACACGTCGGTTTAATGCTGAACTATGAATATCACACCTACAATAGATCTGCGTTTGTACAGGTGTACTGCCTGTAGTTTGAACGGAAGAGGGTTTGAGGTGACGGACTCCCCTTTGGATTACTAGCGGATCTGTCTGCAGACTCGACTGGCGCTCCCAGCTCCGCGTCGGTGCTTCAACCAGATGGGAAACGCTTGTGGGGTGGACGGACTCTCAAATCGCCCGGTATCCATATATCTCTGTCAATTGCAGGGCTCCTCCGGTTTAATCTTAACGCAAAACTAAGCGACCCTGACTTTCACATATCGGATCAGTAAGTGACTTCCATTTGCGGCTGTCACTGGGACATTTTGGACTGTCTGTGCCGGCTTAGTATTTCCGTTATATAAAGTATTTGTCTGCTTCTCCGTACCGAGGGACTGAGGTGCAGTGGCGCCAACAAAAGACCGGATCGGTAAAGCCGCTTTATTAAACCACGATGGCTGTTGCCAGATTAGAAACTGGGGACCACCGTCAACCAGAAAACGGTTTCGTGGCCCCCGAACCGAGTCCGCCGAAACTGCTCCCGCAGATCGACGGCTCCGTCCTGCCTTTCCTCGGAGGGTTTGGGAAGTATCAAAGGGAGCTGATCGTGTTAACGTGGATCCCGGCTTTATTCATCGGCTTCAGTCAGTTTTCCGATTATTTTCTCCTGGCCCAGCCGAACAGCACGTGTGTGCACGGCGAGGCAAACTGGACCGCCGGTCCGCTTTCAGTGACCGGCGACGCGAACGGCAGCATGCCTGGCCGATATGTGTACAGCGACGGCACCGGGAACGACACCCAGTGCATGTGCGCTGGCTGGAAGCTGGAGTCGCAAACAGGACTAGTGCAAAACGTAGTCACCAAGGTGAGATTCGATTCATTATTTTATTTTATTAACATGTCCCTGGCAGTGTACAAAGAGCCATCATATTTGTTCATCAAGACCGCAACGTTTTTGCTGCATGCATTCGACTGGACAATGCGTTTACACGAGAATACGTTTATGCAACGTATTCTCATGATTTGTAGTTTACATTCACATTATTACATTCGTCTTGCTTTTATCTAGCTATAGCCTTGTCAACAACAGAATCATATTGCTTCGGTTTATCGGGGGTGGGTATGGGGTCCGCAGAGATGTCATCCAGTTAATGCCAAACGAAAATACTGAAAGGGGAAATATTCAGACCCCTACCCGATCCTTAGTTCCTGGTTACTTTGTGATCGCAAATTCGTGGCAGGGGGTTCCCAGCTTTGGTCGCTTTTCTTTTAGGGCTCCCTGATTCCAAAAGGGTTGGAAACCAGTGCCGTGGATAACGTTGTCATTCATTGACACGCCTTCGTTCAATACACTGAAATACATGTAAATGATCGTGGGTCAGGAATCTATTGGTGGAAAAGTGGAGAGATGCTATTGTTTCCACTGACTTTACTCAAATCGGTGTGGGGGCGGTGGAAGGAGGGGAAGGGAGGGGGATGTCTAGCAGTTTGTATCGATACTTTTACAGCTCTTACGAAATGTGGGACAAAGGTCAGGGAGTGCACTCCGTTTCTCCATACACCCCGAGTCTTTAAACTGATTCCCCCGGCGAATGTTTTACCCTTCAACGCACAGAAATATCAGACAAAAGATAATCGTGCAGTTTTTAAAACATGTCGGTGCCACGAAAGATTGTTTTCTTCATTAATACGAAGGTGCTTTTGAGATTTAATAGGATCCCACTGCATATTAAATGAACCTGTCAACTGCAAATACATTTAGAATTGATGGGTTAATGACGTGTGGTATTGCTTCAGTTGAAGTGATTAGTAATGACTTAATGAAGCCCGATAACTGACACATCTGCCCCAAGCATCAACAAGCTCTTGGTAAAAATGCTGCAGTCTATCACCAAGCTGTACCTTTCATCACTGTCTAAAATAGTCAGTTTGCCTGTATTTGGTATAATTTCATAGTTTTTTTTTTTTAACCTGAAAGTCTCCTGGTTCTTTCTAACATTAGAATCTAAGGCTTCCAAAACACAACTGACCCTCTTTTTTGTTTTTAGCATTTAATAACCTAAATACACAGATTTTTTTTTTCTTTTCATTTATCTACCCCTGCCAAATATAAAAACATACAGATTTTTGTTTGTCTCAATACTGGTGGATCTGTTTAAAACACACAGGCACTTGAAAATACTGAGGACCCCTAGGTATGATATACTGAGGGTGAGCTACAAAGTCATCTTTGCGTACACTATATTGCCAAAAGTATTGGGACACCCCTCCAAATAATTGAATTCAAGTGTTCCAATCCCTTCCATAGCCACAGGTGTATGAAATCAAGCACCTAGGCATGCAGACTGCTTCTACAAACGTTTGCGAAAGAATGGATCGCTCTCAGGAGCTCAGTGAATTCAAGTGTGGTACCATGATAGGATGCCTCCTGTGCAATAAGTCCATTCGTGAAATTTCCTCGCTACTAAATATTCCACGGTCAACTGTTAATGGTGTTATAACAAAGTGGAAGCAATTGGGAACAACAGCAACTCAGCCACAAAGTGGTAGGCCACGTAAAATCACAGAGCGGGGACAACGCATGCTGAGGCGCACAGTGTGCAGAAGTCGCCAACTGTCTGCAGAGTCAATGGCTACAGACCTCCAAACTTCATGTGGCCTTCAGATTAGCTCAAGAACGGTGCGCAGAGAACTTCATGGAATGGGTTTCCATGGCCGAGCAGCTGCATCCAAGCCTTACATCACAAAGTGCAATGCAAAGCGTCGGATGCAGTGGTGTAAAACACGCCGCCACTGGACTCTAGAGCAGTGGAGTGTTCTCTCGAGTGACGCTTCTCTATCTGGCAATCCTATGGACGAGTCTGGGTTTGGCACTTGCCTGACTGCATTGTGCCAAGTGTAAAGTTTGGTGGAGGGGGGATTATGGTGTGGGGTTGTTTATCAGGGTTTGGGCTTCCCTTAAACGCATTCCTAAACCTTGTGGACAGCCTTCCCAGAAGAATTTTAAGCTGTTATAGCTGCAAAGGGTGGGCCAACTCCATATTAAAGCCTATCTATTAAGAACAGAATGTCATTAAAGTTCATGAGTGTGTAAAGGCAGGTGTCTCTATACTTTTGGCAATATAGTGTATGTATAAAGTGGATTTGGTTTGTTAAACCAGATGTTGTGTAGGTGCTAGTTTCTGCAAACTCCTAATCATTCTCACCTGTCAACTAGAGTTGGGCGATATGGCCTAAAAATAAAATCTCCAATTTTTTTCACAATAAATCCGATTTTCGATTTGAATCGATTTTCCCCTCCCCTACTCAAAATCAATCTACAGATGACAAATAAATGGTTCAAAACAAGTCTTAATTTTTTTTTTTTACTTTAGAGTTAAAGTGCAATTTCACAAGCCAAAAAAGATGCTTGTAAGTGAGATGGCAGACCACGCCATTGTAAACACTTTTAGAAACTTGTAAAAACTTTTAGCATGTTAATGAATCCCGGCTTTTCCACAGTATGAATGGGCACCATGTCTTTTACAATATACATCGCGACAGCGTTTGTTATCGCCTTCCACCTTGCCCCATTCTAATCATATGGCACACAGTTCGAAAACGTGTCAGGGACGGTTGCTTGCTTAACTTTGGATCTTGTGCTGGTGCTGCGGGTTTTTTAATTTCGCTGGAATTTAGGTGCTGGAATAAATTGGTTGTGCTGGTTCCTTTGGTTGCAACAGTTTTTAAACAGACTTTGCAACGAGGACTTGTTTGGTCTGTGTTCGACGGCGCAGACCCGAACCACTGCCAAGTTGTTTGTGAATCCGCTACAGTGTTTGGGTGCGCCGCGCTAATTTACCCATGAACAACGGTGCGTCGCATTAGTTCCGCATTTGGTGCTCGCGTGTAAAATAAGTAATAAAATCGATTTTCATAAAAACACATCGTCCTGAACTGTAAATTCGAATTAATCGATAAAATCGATTTATCGCCCACCTCTACTGTCAACACTGGTCATATACCACTATAACTGTAGTAAACACTAAAAGAAACTGTTTTCGGATGTCTTTTTGTGTTAAGTTAATTTATAAGCATTTTAGCTGGTGCAATATGAAATATTTGACCCATGTCCTTTTTAAGTTACTGGAAACCATTTTATTTAATAGTATACTTGGAATTTATGATGTGATGAATCCTCAGTTACACACTAATCCTAAATATACTGCAGATGCAGCTTTCAAAATACTTCTCCCCCAGTGCGCTTAACAGTAATCCTAGAGTTTAGGTCGCATATTCCTGGAGTTTAGGCAGTACAGAACTTCAGTACAATTGCTAGTGACTTTGAGGCCCCTGAAATTTCCGGAATCTACCTGTTTTTTCCCCCTCAAAAATTTTGACTATCAGACAAAGCTAAATGTTGTAATTTTGTTTAAGAAAAAGAGAGAGATCATCAGAGGACGAAGGCATCCTGTGGGCCACAATGGTGGGCTCCAATGGATCTGGATTCTGGAGATAGGTGTGTGACATTGATGTGTTTGTCTAGACAGGTCAAAGTGGAAGGGCAGCAGCTGGTCTGACGATTCTGGGTGGCTTTTGAGTTGTTTCACTGACTGTTGAGCATGTCCAAGCTGATCATTGAAGACACTCCAACACCCTTTCTTCCCTTGAAGATATGAGACCTTCTCAGGTGGATTGAACGTTCTGTCAAGGCTCTGTGAAACCCAACCAATGGAAGCCGCCATTCCAGTGAAGCATTAGCCCAACATCATGTTGCGGGAGACCCCTCTTTCAAATGACCAAAGCCTCTTGGTGCTCACTGTGGTTTGAGAACTGCAGGCCACCTTAATTATACTACTGATAAATGAGTTCCATAATGAGCTCTCTCATTTAGGACCGCTGGCTGCGATCATTTGGAATTCCTTGGGGCTGGTAGCAGGTTACAGACCCTGATTGGCTATAATATTATGTAAATCTCATTTAACCAGTAAATGAAAGATGGTACCAATATCAACTTCTTCTAAACAGCTTTAAGAATTCTTCATTCGTCATCTACTTGGCCCTGAGCATCTGCAGATTTTCTGTGCATATCAGAAAACAAACATCTCATCTATTATTTGTGCCAATGTGGCTTTCTTGCTGATAATTATTTAATTGAACTGCTGCAGTTTCAAAATCTTGTAAACACTAAACTAATACTTAGCAGGAACCATGCATGCATTTAGTGGGTTACATACAGCTTGAGAGCCTGTTGGAGATCTTTTGAGATATGTAATAAGTCTAAGATAGACTTATTTATTATTGTCTGATCCAGCTTTTAAAAGATAAGTAATAATGTTCTATATTAGTTCTTCCCAAAACATTTCTAGTTTATCATTGTTGTCTTTGTTTGCAAACATCTCAGCAGCTACCTTTCGCTTGGATATTCACCCTATCCGGTTTACCCGGAATGCTTTGGCTATGGGTCATTTGGGGACACAGCTTGCGGGTTTTTGGAAACTAAACCCCCTACTCTGAAACTCAAGGCTGCCCATTTTACCTTCCTGTATTCTCCTGTATTATTGATGTGTTCCCCTAAGCAGCTTGGAGGTAAAGTATTGTAGAAAACCTGCCACTGTTAGGAATCGTTACTGCTGGTGTTTACCTGGCTGGTGTTACTGGGCTGGTGTTACCTGGCGTGAGGATTGACTGGTTTTGCGCACACACACACCTATTGACTGGTTGGACCCAGATTCATCGAATCCGACCACTGTGGCCCACAGGATGCCTTCATCCTCAGATGATCTTTCCCCTTTTCTTAAATGAAATTACATTTGACTGGTTATGCCGACAAGGCGTAGTTCGAGTAAATTTCACCCAGAATTCTCATAATTTACTTTGACTAATGGATATTTCGCTAAGCTATATTAATTCTTTTCTTGAAATCTACATTCACTTCCTTGTACCCATTCTTCTTGGGAAGGACTCCAGGGATGGATGCATGGACTGAGAGACAAAGATCTCTTATTGTTTTCAGTTCTGATTTGTGGCTCTCACCAGACATTTTGAGCTCGCTCCCAGTCCCTTATTTTTGGTTACTTGAGCTTGGCCTGGTGCAGTCGGCGACAGTTGGTTAGCATCAGCAGACAGCTGTCAGCATTTGGGCAGAAAACAATTATGGGAATTCTGTAGCCGTATTGTTGAGTCTCAACTCTCTCCAAGTACAACTGTGGTCACCACCTGTTCAGTGCTGTCACTGACCCAGGATTATGTTGGCTTTGATTGATGTAAGCAGGAACTGGGATCCCAAATCTCACCCTCCACTCAGTCTGAAAATGTCCTGTGACATGTATGACTTTAGTTTTCATGAAAGACTTTGATCTTGCAAGGTGATGCATAATAATTTGTTATTATAGTTATTAGCATATTTAGCATTTATTTACTCTAACACTCAAACAGCTACAATCTCAGGAAGTCAAACCATACAAGGGCAGTGTTTTCTGGTGTTTGAGTCTTATCAAGTGTTCTGTTTCCATTATGGTTTCTTCCCCCTGCTCCAAAAACCCCATCCCTCCTCTTGGCCCCGTTCCCCCTCCGCAGCCCATCGCCAAGCACGTCCGCTGGGCCGCCACGCGCTGCGACAGCTGGGCTCCTCGCGGGGGTCTGTGGAGCTGGCGGGACTATGGTCGCGGCTGATGGTTGGCACCAGTTCACGTGTGACTAGCATTTTGCTTTGTTTGAAACCGAGGATCTGGCCCAGGTTCTGCTGTCGAGGGTGTTTTTAGATCCCGTCACTCAGGGCGGATGGTGTGACTGATAACCGTAACAAAAACTTGTTAAAGATAAGCTACAAGGAAGCTAACATGTTACTGGTCCTTTTCACTTACAATGCATACAGCTGGAAGGCTATGGCATAATAATTCCATCAGAGAGTTTTATTAAATTTGCGGTTTTGAAAAACAAGACAAATAAGCTCTAAGTATTTAGTTTCCCCGGTAACATCCTGTGGTGGGACAGTATAGCGTTTCCCTGCTTCTCATGTCACGTATCCCCAGAGTCCATGTTTAATTGACTTCAGAGCGTTTGCTGTGGATTTGGCTGTCATTCAGATGGTTCTCCAAGGCTCACCAGTCACGCCAAAGCACTGATTAAATACCACAGGGTGTTCTGTGTGAGAACCGGCCCCGTCCTTCGGAAAATATTTGTAAATGATGGGTGTGGAGGTGCGTCAGGACTCGGACTATCGGGACACCATGAGTGTAAACTGCGAAGAATGCAGATGATATAATCGGTATCAGCTGCCAAAGCCAGCGGACTAATAATGTTGTTTTTTTTAAATGATGTAATATGGGGACAGGAGTGCATGCGTGTATGTGTATATGCACATCCCCCACCCCTCTCCCCTTTCTCAAAAACATGTCCTTCTCTGTGTTTAGAAGGTTGATAGTGTGTGTGTGTGTGTGTATGTGTGTGTGTGTAGTCGCATGAAGCTAATTCCCTCTTTGTCCCTGCCTCCACAGTGGAATTTGGTGTGCAGTTCTGCGCAGAACGTCCACATAGCAAAATTCTCCCTGCTGGTTGGGTCCATTTTCGGATATTTGGTGATGGGCGTTCTGGCAGACTGGTAAGCATTTTCTTCCTTTTGCCCATGTGATTGTACTAATTTTTTCAGTTTTACTGCAGTTGGCTCAAATTCCTGGATGCATACATCTCCAGTCTTGGTGTCTGACCCTAATTATCAATTTTCTGTTCTTTTAAACGTCCTTTGATTACATGTGTGTGAGTTTGTGGTATTGTTGAGTTGACTAAATCATTTTGCAGGCTTCAGAGGCTGCCCTCAGTATATGAGGACTTTCTTACCTGTAAACGCTGCTGTTGAATGATCACTTGTTGTTCACGCTATGATGTATGACATTACTATGACATGTATGTATCGCGTGTATTCCTGCGTTGTGTAGGTTTGGCCGTCAACCAGTGTTGATCATCTCCCTGCTCTTCATGTTGGTCTTTGGGCTGACAGTGGCCTTCTCGGTCAATGTGTCCATGTTCAGCACCCTCCGATTCTTTGAAGGCTTCTGCCTGGCTGGGGTCACCCTCTCCCTCTACGTAATGAGTAAGTAGCCACACATCTTCTGCTTAGCCTACATCTACATGAGGACAGGGGACAAGACAATGGGTCCCAACAATGCCAGCTGATGGCTGACCTTTTTGGACAATGTGGGTAGTTTTCAGTGGTTAAAGTGGTCAAGGTAGAGCTAAGGAAAGTTAAAACATAACTTCAGGATCATGAGATGCCGTTTCCAAGGGAACACCATTGTAAAACTCATTTGAGATGCATTGCAAGGACATCAAAATTCCCCACCCCCATCGGAAGAGATTTTTCTCCTAAGCCATTGGTTTTGTTGGCTGCAGTGCAGGAATACAAGTGTAGACGGCTTGTTGACTGCTGAGGGGAAATCGCACCTGCCTGTTGTTAGGCAAAGTTGTCAAGCTTCCAGTAAAATGTCAAACAGGAAATGGAGGTGAAGTTAAACAGATCCTAGTCGTAACTGATCTCTTTGGCAGGTTTCTAAAGACCCACAGAGGTGCTGAAATGGTCCTGGTCCGTTGTTAATTAGCATTACAGTTTATGAACTATTTGCCTCTTAGGTTTGTGTGGTTTTTATGATGTCTTGATTAGTATCCAGAGGAAGGTCTTTGGCTCCAGAATTTTTAATAACAGAAAAGATGGAAATGGTTATGAATTAGCAGGTTTGTTGAAAGAGGTTTGTTTTTAGCATTTCTTTTGCGTTTCTTCTGGTTCTTCTATGGAGTCCCTCTGGTTAGATTGAAGTGTTTGTATAAATAGACCTTATTGCTGGCAAAAGAGTGTCTCGTTTCTCAGATTATAACACTGGAGCATTCCATGAATTTACAACAAATTGTCCTTCTCTACTTTGAACTGGATGTCCATCACAGAAGTTCATGCATTTGCCCTTTTCTCCCTTGTCCTTCCTACGTTGACCATGTGAGCCTGCAGGTTGCGCTCATCCATTTGGCTGAAGCAGTGTAAGCAGAGGTGTGGTTTAAATGGATGGTGGTTTAAAGTTAGCACACATTCCCACGTTCTAAGGAATCAAGGTGACCTTTTGGACATAGTGTGTTGACGTTGCGTGGCCTTTATGGGATGAATGTTTTGGATTTCTGGCATGAGAAAGTGTATCATTAAAACTAGAGGTGCACCAAACCGATATTCAGAATCAGTATCAGCACTGATCCATACCTATTAGATGGATTGGGTATCGACCATATGTGACCGATCCAAGTCCAATACTTACTTATTTAGTTTTCGTCAATCTGTAAAAAGATAGCTGCTATTTCTTGTTAAATCGATTTGTACAATCAATTGCACAACAACTCTTTCCCATTCTAGATGTGTTTTTGCAGCATTCAAGCTAAACACTGATGCTGCCACTCAGTGGGTGTGAGCGCAGTGACTTCTGCCTCCTGTGATGTCATGCACAAACCCTTTGCAGTAGGAGGAATGGAAGAACATCAGATAAGAGGGTGACAATCTGGAAGTATTTTATGGTTGAAACAACAGCTAGTAGAACAGCGATTTGCAATATTTGTAAAAACCAAGTTTTGAGATGTAGACGTAGCGTTTAGTGAAAAATCCCACTGAACAAAGCACATGCAATTGTGCGAGTAATATGAAAAAAGCAATGGATGATTTGGGAGTGGCTATCTTGGGCTGCTTTGCGCACTCGTTACAGCTTGTGAGACACGAGGGGCTGCTGTCGCAATGAAGTGTAAGTTACGCTGTTGCCAGTGGGAGAAAAATTGTGAGGCATTTTAAGGATTCACCACTTGCGTGTCCTCGTTTGGAAGATATTCAAACTGAACTGCAAATGCCTCAAAAACACTTAAAACAAGATGTAAAAATGAGGTGGAACAGTATGTTATGTGTGCTTCTTGCAGCCTAATTAACAAAGCTTTTTTTGGCATACAGTTTTCTCATTTGTATTTACTAGATAAAAACAAAACATCTCTGGTATCATATATGGTTTTATATTTCTGGTTCTCAAATCGGCTGATGCCCTCCGTTCAGGTTTTGGGATCGTATCGGCACTGACAAGATGGGACTGATGCACCTCTAATTAAAACGTCTGCATCACTTGCTCGCCAACCTGTTTTGTGTGACTCTGTTTCCCTCATTGGCTGGAGGCTTTTGTTGGATTGGCAAATATGCCAACTCCATGAAATAAGGACAAATTGTGCCCATTTCATGCCAGTGATGCTGTGGCGCACTGAAGAATGGATGAAGATGACCACTATCCTTGGTTAGTTGGAATAGCTTGTCCTTCTGATGATGGACACTACCTACCGAGCCAGGAATTCATTGATCTCTACATTCCAAAACATACATCTCCTTACACCTACCACACCTCTGCTGTCCCCATGGACACTGATTGGCCGAAATATTCGTCATCTTACAGTCCAGTCCCACACACCCTGGTTGTTTAATTCAATATATTGTTTAAGCCTTTTTGGGTGCCATGGGATCCTTACCTGAAAGTGGCTGCCAACCGGACGGGGATTAACGGCATCCTGGTCGTTTTAATGTACCCAACGTTAATCCTTCCAAGGGGTCTTTGGAAGCCCACCCGGTGCCAGGAGAGCATGAGCGTCATCCTTCATCTTTGAGGGTTGCCGGGTTGGCACGTTCTCTTTCGGGAGGTGGGTTTCTGTGCCTGGCATGACCGTAAGCCGCACCACGGCTGCCAGCCCTGTGCCCTGAGCCCTGTGACACTTGCCTCGTCCTTCAAACCACATCGTCTGTCCTGTGTAGGACGGGGCATCGGAGAAGAGCCTGTCATGGAGCTGCCCACTGCTGACCAAGCGACGCTATATATCTGCAGATGTAGTACATAAGGCTGTGATTTCACTAGCTTTCTCTGAGTCTGCAGTCTCTGCTTTTATTGTCAGCCACAATGCACCACAAGGGATTCTGGGAAGCAAATACTTGAGATATTTATAGATTGTGGAACTCAGGTGCTTGCTGAATCGTTCGGAAGTTTAAACATATAGCATTATGCTTTTATGTCTAACTTCTGTTCTTTCATATGGGTTGAATTCAGTTCTTTCCTGCACACCAGCTCTGGCCTGTCTGGGATTTAAACGCAACACATCCCTGTCGGGAATTTGGCATATCGGCTCAACTCCACCTGTCAACACTGTGCTGGATTTCAGAGAGCTGGTGATTTCTTGCTGACGGTTTGTCTGCTCTCTAAATTTAAGGTTTGTGGACTGTTAAAGAAACCCTCCTACGGGCACGGTGATTGGCTCTGTGGGTTAGGTCCCTGTGCCTGTGATTGGAAGGTCGCCACTTCTAACCCTGGCCTTGGCAAAATAGTGACACTCTGATTGGGCCCTTGAGCAAGGCCCTTAACACCCCCCCCCCTGCCAAAATGCTCCAGGGGTGCCAGCTAAATGGCCTGATGTTGTATCTGGACCCGTTGCTTCTCTTTTGACTGTATATGAACAAAGGATAACTGTAAAATCTTAATACTAATTATTATTATATTTATAAATCATGATATTAAAAAGGATGAGTCATGTTAGGCCCTATAAAACTCTCACTGAGAACTCTTGGCACAATAAATCTAAGAGTAGTATAGCACTCACACCCTAGAAATGTGTCACTGAGAGGATCTGCTTAACACGCGTGAATCACTAGTGTAACAGTAGCATATGATTAAGTATAGCACTATTATAGCAATCAGCATGTCGCACAGAATTATGTGGAATATTGAGCATAGCACTAGCATAGCATGCACCGTATTGTTAACATAGCATTGAGCATAGTAGTAAAAGTAGAGGTATCATTAGCTTAGCACTCTTACAGCACTATGATAAAACTGGATCATGTAGCATTTCTTTGCAAAGCCAGATTAGCGTGACTCCGGTGCATCTGCTCGTAGCTGTCCCACAGGATCTAAGCGACAGCCGGCGGAGCTCTAAGAACAGTGACCCTTGACCCTTGCCATGATGCATTGGAGCTGTTTCCAAGGGAACGCTGGGTTCCAGCATGGGCCCTTCCTGAAGAGGAGGACTGCTGTGTTAGGACGGCTGGGGGCTATTTCAGGAAGGTGGACTCCACAGCAAACATTTAGCCATTATGGCTTAAACACATGGATTGGTGATTTAAATACAAACTCCAAGGGTGTGCTGTAGTGAGTCTGAGTGACCGGGGGGGAGTTACCAAACAGAATGTGAAGTTCTTCATTGTTTTAACCAACAGTGCAAATTATAAGCCCAGTCCCTGCGTTAAAGGGTATAAATCGCATCCAGAGTACAAGACCCCCGTGGGTCCCCTTATCTGATTTTGTGCAGTTGAGAAATCCACAGATACGCGGTTCACCGAACACTGGACGCACACGCAGGAATGATGAATGTGGTCTTTTGTGGCTGGGCTGGGTTCCCACGCAAAGCGATCAGTGCACGATGCAGCTTGTTGTCCCGGGGGGGGGGGGGAGGGACCAGGCCCTTGCTCACTCTTGCGCTCTCTCTCTCTCTCTCTCTCTTGCTCTCACTCTCTCTCTTTCTTGTTTGTTCTATCCATCCATCCCTGACAGCCATGCACCGTGACTCACCTACCGCTCTGACTCATGCCGTCCAGGGTACAGGCTTCGCACCCTCTGCTCGCCACCCTAAATCCACACAGCCTCATCCGGCTTGTTTTTCCAAGCTATATTTTCCTTTTACTACTTCTTGGTTCGATTCTGTTTCGCTTAATGTATAAAACATTTATCCAGCATGTCAGTCAACACATCAAAGAGTGTCATGCTCATTGGCTTGCGTATTTGTTACCTTTTATCTGCTCTGGAGTTTGATTCCTGATCCACTGCACAGACATCCCGCCTCTCCCAGAAGTTCCAGAACTTTCCGTGTTGCTAGCGGCTCCACAACGCCCACTCTCCTTCTCCAAAGATTCTTTATAAGCTCTAGGGTCTTTACTCACTCTCGTTCCGAAAAACAAATGTCCGGGATATTGTATATAATTAGCGGGCATCAGGGAGCCTCTGTCAACATGCAGGAGACCCCTGCAACTTCTGGGAGAGGTCGGATGTTTCCTGTGGGGATGTTAACGACCATGAAACATGCGAAAGAGCAGTCATTCCGTGGATGTTTTTCCTGACAATTACGATCATGATCCCGTCACTTCCTTGCTGTTCCTCATTTTCTAATTGTCTCGGTAAGTGATGAAGGACAGGCAGCAATGACTGCACACCCTGGCGAGAGGCCCTACTGCCCCCCTCTGTGCCTCCTCTCACTGGCTGTCAGACAAAGGGATCTTTCTAACAGCTGCGCAGTGCAGGATGAAGCCCCCGCTGTGTGAATGGTCTCCTGCGTCCCCCCCCCCCCCCACCGCATCCAAGTTTGCATGCCAGTTTTCTTGGCCCTTAGCACAGCCAGAGGAACCAGCACAGAGTAATGGAGCAGCTGAAGCAGCTGGAGCAGACCATCTTAAAGCAGTCAAAGCAGCCAAGGCACTCTTATGCGTTCTCCTGCCATAAAGGGGGAGGGTGGATGTTTGTCTTTCTAATGAAAGACCGGACATGGAGTTTGAAGTCCACCAGCGTGTGTAGCAAACTGCTTCACATGTTCAGCCAGCCTGTTCTGGCAAGTGTCCTGACATATGTCTCGCTGGGGAGGCAACGTAAAAGGAAGAGGAAGATGAGCTGAACAGGGTGATTAAGAAGGCTGGAGGTCATGATGGAGAGGAGAGTGAGGGACACAAATTACACTCCATCATGGAAAATGAGACTCATCCCCTCAGTAGGGATCTTACAGAGTGGGGAAGTTCTCACAGCCAGACGCTCACTTTCCCCAAATGCAGAAATGAGTGCTTCATACCAAGTGCTATTCACCTATTTAACATATAGGTGGAAGTGGTTGATAAGCCTGTCACTTTGCCGCAGTTGCACTATGCGTGTGTCTCTGCGTACTGCATGGGCAACAGGAAGTACTAGGTGGGGAGATGTGGAGAAAAGTCAAAGGTCAGTTTGAAGGTTTGTACAGTGATTGGGGGCATGGTGATGGGGGGTATTGCATTACCTGTGATCTGTTAGGTTGGGGGTGCGAGCCAACCCCCATCCAAAAGCAGCAGACCTTCCCGCATCAGTCCCGGGGCCCAGAAGTGCTCCTTGTTCCATCCAAACAGTGCCAGGTCCGAATGGTGACGCATGCGTGGGCGGCTCTCGAGCGAGGACTCTAGCAGCAGGGAGCTGGCCGGGCTCATATCCAGGAGCCAGAGTCTTCAGGGACTGGCCATGGTGCAGGGAGCGGTCCGGACCGAACCATCTGCCGTTCAGGGGGCCGCTTTCATTTCTGCACTGAGGTCTGATTACATAGAAGGTCCCCCTCGGCCTCTGTTGTCATGGTGTTGGCCGGAAGGGCGGAGCAGGGATGGAAATGTAACTTTTTCTCATCCCACACCTGGTGGTGTTTCCTCACGCACCTGATCGAACGCGTTAATGGGAATGTATCGTGCGCCGAGAGCCATTGTAATGAGTGAGTGCTGACTGTTGTTTCTTTGGAGCAAGCAATTTTGGCTGGATGTTCGGGGGGCATCATGGGATGTAATGGCGGAGGGTAAACCATGGATATACTCAGGGGCGGGGCCAAAGGGACACCTCTCCTGTCACTCACTGATTCAAACCTAACATTGGATAATGATAAAACTGTCCCCTCTGTATTAATTATGGCCCCCACCGTAAAAAATCCTAGAATCACCCCTAGTAAATAACAAAGTAATGTGTATGTCCTCACTTTTTTTAACTCTGAAGAGATGATGATTTTCTGTGAAAATCTTCCCTCCCCAGGGGTGGATTAACTAATCTGGGGAACCTAGGCTGTCATCAACATCAACTCTTAGCTGTTGCCAGTTTAACTAACTGTTCTGTGTTTGCTGAGGCTGGGTGGAGCCCTGATGTTTACTGGGCCGCAGGCCATAGCCTAGGACAGCCTATGGATTAATCCGCCCGTTTCCCCCAGAAGCCATTTAAGTAGAACAGATAATCGCTTTAACTGGGTGTTAAGAGACATTACCATGGCAACAATCACTGGAAAAAATGTCAGGGTCACGTCAACTCAACAGCAAGCTGCTTCTGTAACATTTGTGTCAATTGGTTCAGATGGTCGAGCGCCCCCTGCTGGTGGCTTCCTGCCCCATACATCACCGCTTATAATCCTCAGGGCCTCCTAAATTACAGAGTTGAGTTAAACACCTGGGCGTGCTGTGACCTATTGCAGGATGTGTCCTGCAGCAGCCCAGAAGCCTCTCTGATTTGATCCTCTGTGGCTGAAAGCCCTCATGTGTCCGGAGATGGCCAGAGGACACGCCCCTTGTGGTCCATTGTGGTATTACCTCATTTGAACTCGCTCACTCGTGTCTGTGATTAGCCTAATAAGATGCACATATATTTGACTATGTAAAACAATGTATGGCAAATTCTGTGCTAATGTTACAGTGGATTTACCATCTCCTGGAGATGATATCATGGGGCGAAAGTTATAAGCTCTATTCTTTGGACTGTGTGTGTGTGTGTGTGTGTGTGTGTGTGTGTGTGAGAGAGAGAGAGAGAGAGAGAGAGAGAGATGACTGTTATTAACATGATATATTTGATGTCTTTCATCCTATCCTATTTTAACCTGCAGCTGGTCAGTTTTTATGTACCACTTGTGATGTCTGAACGGGAGAGTCCGGGTGTTTTATTACTGTGGGCCAATGGCAGGCACCACATTCTGTTGCCGTCAGCGGTAATGGATGCCGTTGCCAGCTCCTTCTGATTCTGGACACCATGCCGGCTGGAATGGGCCCGGTCCTTGATGGGAGCCGGCCCCACCCTGGGGTAATGGCTCCGTCCCGGCCCGCTTTGTCGTTCCACCCGCTGACGGGTCCCATGAATGGGAGGGATTATTCTGTCCCTCGGGGAGCCTCATTGAAATTCCGGTCCCTTCCACGGGACGGGAGCGAGCTGCGACAGGCCGGGGTGTTCTCCAAACCTTTCCACCTTTTAAATGGCCTATCGAGCTAATACCATGAGGGTGGTGGTGGTGGGGCGGGGGGGGGGGGAGGGGCAGGGAGTTTGGGGAGCAATTTAGCTGAAACTTTGATAGCTTAGCCTCTATCAAGGATAGCATTGAGGTCTCTCTGCTGGTGAGAGTGTGAAATGATGATTGGGTGAATGTGTGTGTGTGTGTGTGTGTGTGTGTGGCTTGGGACAACATGCTATATATCACTGAGCTCATGAGGTCTTGGCCCCTGTTTTTTATGTTAATCAGGTCTCATGTTTGAATCTACCAGCCTGCTCTGCATGTCGCTTTTTTATCACTAAGCTACATATTTTAGAGCCTTTTCTTCCTGTTAAAGATTTGTACATTTACATATTGAGTCCTAGTTAATCACGTCCAGTTGGTCATGTGACCAGGGCATGTGACCTGTGCCTACAGTTGCAAGGAATGTTGTGTAATAACTCAAATACTTGGTCACCTGACCCTTCTTCCCATACCCTCCAGGGATCGAGCTGTGTCTGCCAGACAAGCGCTTCTCCATGACTGTCGCGGCCAGCTTTGTGGTTCTGGCGGGTCAGCTGCTGATGCCAGGTCTTGCAGCACTCTGCCGTGACTGGCAAGTCTTACAGGCCGTCATCATCTGCCCCTTCGTCCTCATGCTGTCGTACATCTGGTAGGAAGCCCTGCCTTCTCGTTCCAGTATCTTGTGTACATGTGCCGAAGTGCTCAAAATCGGAGGCGACCATGCCCTCGAATGATTCTCTTCTTTCTGCAGGATTTTCCCAGAATCCCTTCGCTGGCTTCTGTCCACCCAACAGTACCACCGCTCCAAAGGACTGATGTACAGAATTGGCAGGAAGAACAAGGTGGACATGGAGGTGGACACGACTGGCATCCTTTTAGGTACAAGCCTACTTTCTCATGGCATTTTTTTCTGGTTGAGTAGTAGCATCAGTGGGTAGAGTAGAAATTTCTGGTTTTGGGACCAGTCCACCACCCTAGACACATTTTCTTTAGCATGATAACTCAAAAAGTATTGGACGGATTATTTTCAAACTTTGCAGACACATTGTATGGGTGAAGATCTGAAGATCTGAGGCAAATCACACCAAAGTTGAAATAATGCTACCTGGTGGTAGAAAAGAGAATGGCAGCCTCAGATGTAGATCTGGTGAACCTGATTACATTGTGTCAAATCACACAAAGTTGGGGTTTTAACAAAGATATTTTTGGAGAAGTGGGGAGAGTGTGTAGGGGGGCTGGAGATAGTAGAGGTTAGGGGAGTGGGAGGAGGAGGGATTAGAGAGGGGGGTGATGGGGCCATCTAGGAAATACAGTATTGTTGTTACGACAGTATCTAGCTGGTTAACTAGGTTTATGAGGACCTCTCCACTCAGGGTGATAACCAGAATCACGTGACACAGGGTCAGCTATGGAAAGGTAGAAATAAGGATTCACTGTTTACAAGGATTGGGCAGAAGCGACATTTGGAGAAAAGTGAGAAAGAAATGGGAGTTAAGAAATGGTGATGGGAATGGACCAGCACCAGGCAGTGTGGTTACATTTATGTTTTTATATATACACAGCCACGGAAAAAATTAAGAGACCACAGCACAATTTTTTGTTTCACTCATTTCTCAATTTATGGATATGAATCTGTGAATAATATATTATTTCTTTTGCAAACTGCAGCCTGGTTCTTCCCTGTTTCTCATTGATGAAGGGCTTCTTTCTCACTTTATGGACCTTCAGTCCTGTTTCTAGGAGCCTGATATGAACTCTCCTAGCAATGCACTTCACACCTGCACTTAATGTTTCTCATTGCAGCTGAAGGTCACTTGATACCATCCAAATCATGAGAAACTGTCGCATAAGTCGACAGTCATCTCTGGTACTAGAAAGTTGCTTCTGCCCTCTACATGGCTGGTTTCTGGTGGTTCCAGTATCTCCTGTTTCACCTTATTCTTTTGTACTGCTGTCTTAGAAATGTTTAACCTGGAAGCAACCTGCTGCTCAGTGTAGCCTTCTGCCAGCAGAAGCACGATTAAACCAGGATTTAAAAATGCAGATTTGCTTAAAAATATAGAGTGGTATCTGAATTTTTTCTGTGGTTGTATATTTCAATTTTCATTTAAAGTCTAGTTTAGTTCTAGCTTTTCAATGAGATTTTGTTACTTTTTTTAGATACATTTCTATTTGGTTTTTATTGGATTTAACAATTTTAGTTTCAGTTTATGTTTTAGTAATTTAATTTCTGGGGATAAAAAAATTGTGTCTGATCTTTAGAGAATCCTATATGAATACACAGTGCATTATGTACTAATTATGAACATACAAGTATGTCCTCAAAATGGGCAAAATATGTTCCAGGTGTTATTAATGGTCACTAAAGATAAATAAATCATTAAGTAACGGTAAGTATTTGATGGTTGTTGTTATTTTATTTCAAAAGCAGTATTTATAGTTATCTTTTAGTTGTAGTTATTTGTTTTTCAGCTCTTGCTTTATTTCATATATTTTGTTTTCTTGTAGTTTTAGTTTTCGTTACCAATTACCGTGCAGGCAGGATTTTGTGGGGGAGTGCAAACAGAGCATGTCTGCTTTTAAAGACCAAAGTGACTGGTGGAGTATGTCAGCAGTAATAAGAACAGCTACACAGGAGGCAGCATGCATGTGTTTGGAGAGGAGAAGTCATTAATCTTCCAGTGACAGACGGTGAGTCACGTGTGGTGCTGGAAACGCGTCTTCCTGGTGATGAGACAGGAAATCCACTTACATTGGTTTTCATACGTGGTACTCTAGAACATTCTGTTGCCTAACATTCCGGTCCAGTTGAACCCCGCGTGACCCGGCACCCCGGGTCAGAGGTGGAACACGGACGCGTTCCACGCTGGCATCCTGTTTCAAAGAGTCAGATCCCTTGAGGGTCTGACAGTTATTCATATCGTTGGGCAGTTTGACAAAAAGCAGACTTGATGACCGTGGTGACAGATCGACCCCGAGCCAATGACCGACCCCGAAGGGACCTACAGAGTTTCCCTGGAAAACATGTGGAGCAAAAGCCTAAGAGAAACAATGGCTGATAACTGAACTCTGAAGAGAGATCCACCATTATCCAACCCGTAGATCTGCAGCACTTCTGAAAGCAGGAATACACATTTGAGATTTTGTTGTGGTTTGGTGTGTTTGTCTGTCTCCGTGGGAATACAGAACCACGTTTTGGATGCCCATACATATTGTGACAGGAAGCCACCTTCAGGGTATGTGCTGTTTTCATGCAGGTTCTACAAAGACATAATCTTCTCTTTCTGTTTGCTGTAGGCCATGGGTTGGTGCTAGACCCCTTTTACTGGAGCATGTGCCCCAGTATTGATCTGCTGTACAATCTCATGTTCAAGTTTAACAAGCTCCTATATTTCGTAGTGTGTTAATTTCGATTGATAATAAGAATGGATTTTAATCTAAGAATGGATTTTATTCTAATCCACCAAGTCAAATCAGCACAGTTTAGCCCAGAATACAAGCAGAGGCACACAGTTTGCGATCCGGATCTGTACACTGGGGCACAGAAATTGCTGTCCCTGTACAGCAGTGTGCATCTAGAAGCCAATGCAGTACATACAGCAATCCGTGTATTGGCACACGAAACAAGAATCAGGATTGAGGAATGATAACACAATGGGACCAAAGTAAGTTTTGAAATAGTACCAATGAGACCTCAAATTATTTTGATTTGAATCAAACATTATTGACTTCTGTAGATGAACATCAGTGTGGTAATGGTAGTAATAGTGGGCTAAGCAAGGGAAGTTTAAATAGCACATATCATACATGCAGCAGGCATTCAAGATAAAAATTGTGAGTTGAGTAAAGGGTATAGAGGCGTCACGGTGGCGCAGTGGTTAACAGTGAATAGTGTGTGAGTGTGTGAGCCCTGTGATGCATTGATACCCCATCCTGGGTTGTTCCCTGCCTAATGCCTATAGGCTCCAGACACCCTGAGTCCTAGCTTAAGGCGAGCAGTTACACGGATCGAGTAATGGGCAGCCTCCGCCCCAGTACAGCTTTATGTCTCGCAGCGGCCTTGGGGCAGGCGCTGTAATCCACGGCCAATCAGGAAGGCAAAAGGAGGATGCTTTGGTGTTTTGGATCAGTGCTTCCAGCAGCTTCCACAGAACCCCTCTGATGTGTCCTGGGTGGATTCTCTAACTTCTCTTGTGTCTTTCCAAGCTTGATGCCTGTAGGGTGTTGTTTTTAGTTCATTTTTTTTTATAAATCTCTTTAAGATTTCATTTGGCTGTGGGATCATAGGGAATAAATATGCATCCTTTAATTAGTGTAGTTCCAACTATTTAAGTAATTACTCATTGGCTTAGAGAACCGTAATTACCATAATTGGTCATAATTATGTCTGACACTGTACTATTTTAAGGATTAATGAATGAAAAGTACAGCTTCTTTCATACATCTTGTAAAGGATTTAGGAATGTCAAGGTAGGTCACATTGTGGCATGTTTGAGAAAAGCCAGTGATTTTGAGACTTTTTTGTGGCTGAGTCTGATTCACTTCCGTGGCCATTCCTGCCATGGGTCCCTGCTTTTCTTTGGATGTTTGTGAGGTCCAGTTTAAACGTGGACTCCCTTCAGGATGGACTATCATTGGTCTGTTATTCATGACTCTGAGGAATGACACTTTTGATGATGTCACACGTTTGACGGCTGCCTTCTGGTCAGTGGCTGTTGGGTTCAGCTCACCTTCTTATTGTGCTGGAGCACGACGCCTTTCTCCTAAGCCCTTTAACTCTCCATTTCTCCACGTCGCCCTTGACAGTGTCACTGCTCGGGGGCTGACGTCAGCACCTCTCCGGCCTGCTGGGACGGGGGGGCTGTTTCTATGCCAAGGGGCTTATGCGGTACAGAGCCAGCTCCCGACTGCACGCACGTGGGGAGCTGTCAGGGTGTGTAGGGCCACTGAGGTGTGCGAAAGGTTGTGAGGTAATTCCCCCCCCCCCCCTTGCTTTGTCCCATTCACATCCCCACACCCCAGATGGTGAAGAGGAGTAAGGGAGCTCACTGAGATAATCTTGGCATGGTTGGGTGAGGTCTACTGAACTCTATTCTATTATCAGTGAAGGTGGACCATGGAATTAGCAAGGAGGTGTCCATGTGTCTCCCAGCATGCAATGCTGGAATATTGGGGTGCCAATGCCTTTACTAACAGTAAAACCATAAAAAAAATATATATATTAATGTTTTGGGTGGGGCCACCCTGCCAGATCAGTCACTGCTTCATTTAATCAATTACCAATCAAAGTAACCCAAGTGAAGTTTAATTCAGTGATAGACATAATAATCCACCATGAGCTTTTAAGCACCATTTCGTATGTTACTGCACTGAACTATGATTCTCCTGTGGTTACTCTGGGTGTGGTTAGCTCAGCTAGGATGTGATCTCCTGCTTTCTGGGATGTGTGAGACATGGGTGGAGAACAAGGATTCTGGCGACGCGATATGTCGCCTGGGGAGGGTTTCCATGGAAACACCTTCAGCTTTTGTCTCAGCTTTGGCTGTGCTGAACAGCCAGCCCCCCCGATAGAGCTTGAGCTCTACTACCCCACATTCCCGGCAAGAGTCCTGCTGTTAAGAAGCCCCTCGTATGGACCAGGCAGCCCCTCCCAAGCCTCAGCTGGCCTGTGGATGTCGCACTCTGTCATGTGACATCACTGCCTCATAATGGCAGAAATCCTAGCGGATCCTAGCACTCAAACCTACTTCTCAATCAGGTCTAAACTCTTACAGTCAGTCAGTTGTCCTTAAGTTTCCAGAATTATACTGAAGTTTCCTGAATGTGCCAGCGCTACTAAGGAAGGTTAATTATTAATATGTTTTTTTCTTTTTATTTTTTTTAGTTTTCCAAGTATTGTCTTAATTGTGTTTTTGTGCCAGCCTCCATATATTAAAACTGTTACGATTACTGGATTAAACTCTTTACTCGATTATTGAAAAGCATCAATTAAAAATTTTCTTCACAATTATTCAGCAATATAGTGGAAGGAAGACGGACCATAGTAAAGGACAGTCCCAATAAGCAGCAAAAGCATCAGTTCGGTTGAAGCACTTAACATTAAAAGTGAAGGAAAGTGCAGCCGTCTGTCCGTATTGCAAAGCAGATCTTAAATATCACCACAGGATGCTTGCAGTATAAATACATCTTAAAAGAGGCTGTCTTTGTCATTTTGTTGACTTAGATTATTTTGCATAATTTACTTTCTATGATTTCTGTATGTCAAAATAATCGCCACTAAAACTAAGGTTAGCCCCGTAGCTTAGTGGCATAACCTTGCTTAATACGATAATATAACTATACAATATTATTTGTTATTATTTATTATAACATATTGTGTGTTTTAGGATTGAACAATATTGGGAAGAATACACATTGTGATATTTTAAGTTTTTGTGATATTTAGGACTTAAATATTAATTTGCAGCCAAATATAACTAACTGTCTACAAACACAGTCTGTCAAATAAGCTGATAGTGTTGCCTTAAATTAAGCCAACAGACACAACCCAGTACCGACAAATCACTTACTTTTGCTCAATATGTCTATGGAATACAAAATATTTCCATAACGTGTAATACGAATGTCTTTTCATGATCAGTTCTTGTTAGCTGTTCTCTTCTTCACTCATTTTTGTTTAATTTCTCCTTCCACTGTCCAAAAGCATGCAAATTAAGTGAATATACATACTTATTTTTTATTGCCGCCAAACTGATTTAGGAACAAAGGGGGGCATTAATTAAGAAAGTGGCGCGGTTGCCCAGGGGGAGGTTGATTAAAGCTGGAAGTTTCTCATCAGGAATGTCTCTCCAGCGAGGCTAAAGGGTCCATTTCCTGAAGCATCACTCTTTAATATCAGCCCCCCCCCCTTGTCTCGCAGAGCTGGAAAGAGAACTCCCCCGGAAGCCCAAGCGGACGTGTATCATCAAGATGGTGGGCACCCGGAACTTGTGGAAGAACATTGTGGTGCTGTGCGTGAATTCGTAAGTGTGCAAGCCAGGAGGGCATTCTGGAAAGCTTCATGGCCACCAAGTGTGTGGCTGTGCGCGCCTGTGTGTCTGCATGTTTGTTTGTTAGTTAATTACTACATTGTGGGGACCAGATTTCCCCAAAAATGGTATTAAAACCTGTAATTTTTACCTTGTGGGGATTCCCACAAGGATAACCTCAAAAGGATAACAATCAAAAAACTAAAATGCCAAAAGTCTTTTATTTATTTTGGTTACTTATGGTTAAGGTTAGGCCTGGGTAGGGGTTAGGGTCGCCATGTTGGGATGAGGGTTTTCCCCATAGAAATGAATGGCCAGTCCCCACAAAGATACAAATACAAACCTGCATTTGGGTGTGTCTGTGTGTCATTGTGTGTGTTCACAGACCTAAATCAGAAAGCATCTTCATCTCCTCTCCTCTCCTGGCAGCTGGGGGCCCAGTGGGTGGCAGAACCCAGCTGTGTTTAACCTGGGGACTGGGGGGGGGGGGCTTTGGCCTGCTTTCACTTTTACCAGGAATTTCCTCTTCTCCTTTCTCTTTCTTTCACTCTTCTAGTTCTTATTTGGTTTATCTGCTGTTCCTTTAACTGCCGTTCCTTTTTAAATCCACTTATAATTAATTCGTTAAATATTAAGTTTGTCACTACACTGCAGTACAATGAAATTTTGTTGACATTTCTTCATGTGCGGCAATATTAAAACAACGAGAACAGAATGACAATAGAAAACACTGATTTAAGACACAGTAAAACAGTTTCAAAATATAGTGCAGACAATAGAGAGAGCAATAGCATTCTACACAAGGTAAAAACAAATAAATATAAAATATACATAAATATGCAGATTTTAAAGGGAAAGGCAGTCCCAAAAGTGCAATTATAATTTGTGTAACATTTGGGCCACACCCCTGCTGAATATTCATGAGGAGGGTGTGGTGTGATCACAGCCTTCGCCTCTCACACAGGCTGACCGGGTACGGCATTCATCACTGCTTCGCCCGCAGCATGATGGACCCTGAAGCCCGTGAGGGGTTCCACAGCTTCCTTGCTGATTATTTCACCATGGCAGGCATCGCCGTGGCATCGTGCTTGGCGTTGTGCCCGGCTGTGGCCCTGTTGGGCCGCAGGGGTGGCCTGCTGGTCTTCATGATCGTCACCGCGCTGGCGTCACTGCTGCAGCTGGGCCTGCTCAACTGTGAGTGCTGGGTGTTTGGGTGTGTGTGTGGGGGGGGGCGTGTCACATACAGTATACATATGTATATATACAGTACTGTGCAACGGTCTTAGACAGTCAAAGGGAATTGTTAAAATCATGTTGGTGTAAAACTTTGTCAATTGTGTCTGCTTAGCCATTTCAAATCCTCTCCTAATTTTAGCTGGCTGTGGAATTTAACTAATACAGTACATTAAACATCATCTTTGTCTAAGATTTTTGCACAGTACTGTATGTATATGTATGAATGCATTATGCATTTATTTATAATATGTGTATGTTTATATACTGACAATCCAGAGAGCAGGAATTTGATTGTGATGTTAAGGATTTATAAGGTTTTAATGTTTTTTGTCCTTTTATTAACATACTGGTATGTTAATATGCTTGTTTCCATTCTGCCCCCTCCTGGACGTATTGGCAAATGCAGTAATTGGGAAATACAGCCTCCGGCATGATATAGGTAACGTAATGATCTGTGTAATGCAGTGACCCATTCTCATCGACTGCCTAGTACAACTGAGTTAAACTCCCCCCCCCCCACCCCACACACACAGAATAATAAACCCTTGAGATGTGATGGACGTATTTCAGAAATGCCCTCTGCTCTCCTCCCTCTCACAGAGCTGAGGGACACGCTGAATAAAAAGTTCTCTGTGGCCTTCTCCATCATCGGCATGTTCTCCTCGCATGCAGTCAGCAGCCTCAGCATCTTCTTCTGCGCTGAGATCACCCCCACAGTCATCAGGTGAGAGCTGTTATTCCTCCTGTGGCCACAGCACAGGTGGGGGCACCAGAGGACGGACAAATCATTTACATTTGTAGTGGTTCAGCTGGCAGACCCGACTTCCAATATGTCAAGCTTAATAAGAAAGACCTTATTTTATGGGGTTTAAGCAGTTTATTATTTAACATTCGGCTGTGGGTTTAGTGGTGCTGGAGTTTGTGCGTTTGGTCTAGGATCCTGATTGTGATCAACATATGACAACATATTTTCCGTTATTGCGCCATAATGTAGGTGGCTGCAGCTCGACTGGTGTCCTTTCAGAGACGCAGATGGTGGGCGGCACAGATAGCAGGACTCATGATGAGAGGAGCCGGCTGTGGTCTCTGTGTCACAGACCTGTTCTGACTAATATAAGCGGATTTTGGCAGCACCTACAGCGTTACCAGCATTTGGGATGTGCTAAGCCGAAAGGAGTGTTTGAGATTTGGCTCCACCTAGTGGTCAAATCAGTGTGACATAGGTTGCTGAACATCACCTCTTCCTTGTGAAAAATATTTTTCATAGAAGGCTTTGAATATGTGAGCTGGGGCATAGACAGATATTCTGAGGCCCCTGGCAAAATGTCTCCTTCAGCCCCTGAGCGGGACCGGGTCCCCTCGGTGGATTCTGCCAGTCAGGCCGCTGACATTACATTTTGAAACCCCTACAAAGTGCTGGGCCTCTTGAATCTGCCAGGGTACCCATGCCTTTCCAACCCCCCCGATTGTGAGTAAGGCTGCTGTATAGCAGTACATATAATATTTTGATACTAACTTGTAGGAATTTCAGGATTCAAATTCTAATATGTACACGCATCATTCCGTCCCAAAGATATACATTATAATATACAGCCTCAGAGTTGTAGACACACTGTCCTGAAAATCACAAATTATCTTTGAGTACCTTGTCTGTTGCTTTTTTGTTGTTCATATGGGTTACCCAGTTCACTTCATTTGATTAGATATCGGGGCAGTGTGTGGGTATCTGTATGGGGTAACTGGAGGGTTGGGCGATATGACCTCAAATCAATATCACAATTAATCGAGCATTTTACCTTGACTTCAATTAATGAGCGATTGTTTTGTTTTTTTTTGTCTGTATTTGCCCTCATATTTAACTGACAAGTTTTGTACTGTAAATATTTTAAAATAACTGAAGGAAACACACACAGGTGAACAATTTACAGTTATTTATTGAATATTTCGAACAACTGAAATCAAAGCACAAATTGCTTGAAATTAAAACATCTTATGAAAAAGATCAGTTTTAGTTTTATTGTAAACAGTTCCCAAAAAAGTAGAAAAGAAATGTGATTATGTCTTTCTGGGTGAAATTGATCACTGTAAGCAGATGACCATTATATCCATTTTTTTCCTTTACGTCTCCGGCAGATTACCATTTAATTGACATTTGTATATTTATTACATGAATATAAAATAATAAAACAGACAGCGTCGCTATATACTGAATTATGTTGACGATTTCAAAATACAGTGCAGCCGTTTCAAACGCTTTTCAAATTACAGAACTGTGTATAATTCAAATGTAATACAGTACAGTACTGTACATAAATTATAGCTGCTTGTAGTTTTGCTGCTGCATGTAGGTGGCTCATTTTTGTCAGTTTATCAAAAATCTACATTTAGAGTCTACATTTGTCATTGAGAGAAAATTATTTTTCCTGACATGTTTTCTGTGCTTGCAGTATTAAGTAGCTAGAAGCAGACGGGTTACCGCAAGGAAAAGTAGGCAAGTAAAAAAATATATACAGTGGTACCTTGGTTCTCGATCTTAATCCGTTCCGGACTCCGGATCGAATCCTAAAAAGTTTGAGTTCTGATCGAATTTTTCCCATAAGAAATAATGGAAAACAAATTAATTGGTTCCCGGCCCCCCAAAATTACACCTAAACATGTTTTTTTTTTTTTTAGCATTTAAACACAAAATGAACAGGATAAAACAAAAAGAGCATTTTTTTCTTAATGGCTTCCAAAACGATAAAGATCTTATCCCAACATTACCCCTGTCCTGCCCCAATCGTACGCTCCTTCCGTGTGCCACGCCTCCTCGTTAACCTCGTGTGGGATCCCCATGTGATCAGCTGTTTCTTGTTGTTGTCATTAGTCCTCTGTATTAAATCCACGTTTCAGTTTGTTTCCCCAGTCCGGTCATTTGGTACGTTTGACTTGCTTACTGCGCTGGCTTAAAGCAACGCATTCTGATCCTGACGCAATGCATTACTGTATACAGAATACAGATGCATTGCGACCTCTCACCCGGCTGCACAAACTGGAACCGCCTCCGTGACGACACACCGCCTTATTGGCTGAAGAGTTTAGTTACACGCATGACGTTTGTATCCCAGGCAGTTCCGATGTGTAATCTGCTATTTCTCCCGAATATCACGTAAAGCAGTGAGAACTGGTTTTCATTTAATTTACTTGGTAAAATAAAGTTTAAATAAATGACATAAATGCTCTAATAGTACACGTAAGTTAGTGGTTTATTTATTGTTAGTTACTGTAATGTTGCGCTGCTTTATTTGGTTAATCGTCCAGTCTGTGAAGAAGGCATTCAAGTAAGAATTGCATTGTAGTATGACTCATTTCCTGACGCGTACCATTTATATTAGGTCAAGGTTCACGGTTCGACTTCTGATATTCAGATCGAGTTCTAGGTCAAACTGGTTTGTTCGACTTTCAAGAAATTCGAGTTCTAGTGAGTTCGAGAACCGAGGTACTACTATATTAGTGTAATTTAATTTTTTTTCATGTGGTATGTATAAAAACAGTTTTTGTATAGGAATGATTCTGTCCCAGCTTTTTGATCCGTATATGCAGTTGATCACTATGACTGTGATCATTATAAGCGTTTTACGCTGTATTTTAACTTAAATATTGCTAGTGTTGAAACCGATTGGTGGTATTACCTTTGGTAGCTGAAAGTCTTTTTCCGCAGCGTTTACATTTGACCTCTTTTGTTCGGTGTCTTCTTCACTAAAGCCACACTGTGTCCAAACAACGGATATGGTATTTTTCGTTGGTTCAAGCTGCTCGAGCTGCTCAGTCGGCTTGGTGTTTGAGTTCTCCTCCATGTTGCTTCCACATTGCTGACTGGACAGGGTGGAGACACGTGACAACACATGCAGTAGTATGTTTTTAAAAGGACAGTCCATGAAAACACACTAGTAAAAGTATTGACAGATGTTTTTTTTAAGTATCAAGAGAAAAAAAAAAACGAAGTAACCGACATGGGCAAAATTATGTCAATTACAGGTTTTGAATGTCAGATTTGATTCATTTTCGATTCATTGCCCAGCCCTGGGTAACTGCTTTTTTTCTACCTTTTTTCTTTTTCTGTCCACAGGGGCGGCGGTCTTGGGCTCGTTCTGGCCAGCGCTGGCTTCGGCATGCTGACAGCGCCCATCATGGAGCTGCACAACCAGAAGGGCTACTTTCTGCACCATGTCATCTTCGCCTGCTGCACCCTCATCTGCATCATCTGCATCCTGCTGCTGCCGGAGACGCGCCGCCAGCCGCTGCCCGAGAGCCTGGCAGACGGGGAAAGCTATGCCCGGCAACCGCTGCTGCCGCCCAAGCGGCTGGGCGAGCAGCACCTCCTGCTCACCCGTGCCGAGACCAGAGACTACTCGCGTGTCCATGACACGCCTGTCCGCCAGGCCATCACCTCAGAAGCTAGTGCGTGCGAAGGAAGCGCAGCCACCAATGGGGTGAAGCTGCCATGAGCACATGTTCTTGCACTGAGGCCCCTACCTGGCGAGAGGGCGGGTCTTGCCTTCAGCCATCCAATAGCACCTTGCAGCCCATGTTGATAGACTGAGGTGACAACCTCTGATAGGCTGCGATAATCTTGAACCAAGGGACATTAATCAGAGACAAGATACAGTGACCTTCATAGCCTGAAATGGCTGCGCACTCCCATACTGATGGACACCAGGCCAATGTTTTTCTCCTACAATGTGAAGCACCTTTTCCCCCCCTAACTTAAAACGAATACCACTAGTTGTTGTATTTGCTCAAAACTTATCGCTGTTTTCTGAGATCCTCATGCAATGGATGTTAGGAGGATCCAGGAGACTAAAGTCAAGCGTCAGAGTTTGCTCCTTATGTGTGAATAAGTATAAGCAGTAAGGATGTCGCCAGAATAGATGTGTTAGAGGCTAATCCTGCTGAGTATTTATCTGTGGGTCATATGAAGCAAAATCCTAACAATAGGCTCTTATACTCTTTTGGTACCACTATTCAGGACAGAGCTAACATGTAATTCTCCTGTTTTGTCCTACCTCTCATCCACACTGCTTGAAACGGACAGAAGGGTACAAGAGTTATTTATTAATGGACTCTATTGACGCGAAACAAGGCGGGTCGCTGAGGAGCAGGGAGAATTTGGTGAGCTTTTACGGATAGTATGGATGTTTTCATGATCCGTACAGGGAAGCAGATTTCTCTCCCAGATGTCGAAGGGAATTGTTTTACACCTACAAAGACACTCATGTTGATGCTAAAAACCTATGAAGCGACTGAGGAAAAAAAAGTCACGTTAGTTAAGGATAATCTACAACCTTTAGCCGTGATAAAACCTTAAAATATTGTTTTGCAATGCGGATACTGTTTTTAGTTAAATCTTTTTGGCTCAAGTATTCAGCAGACCACACCAAACTAGATCAAAAGAACCTGAAATAAGCTTCATGAGGGTTTTGCGATGGATGACATTAAACTGAGTTCTGCAAGTTTTATGGAAAAATCGCGCCTTGTGGAGCAAACCAGTGTTACCATGTGACACTTTTTTTTAACATTCCCTTAATTTTTGCACTGAATTAAAAAACAATCAGAAGTTGCCAAGATCTTTTGTGCAGATGTACTATTCTAGATAGACTTTGTGTCGTGCCGTGTTACTAACTGTGAGTTCAAAAATCAAACATCTCAATTTTTTGTTTTGGAAGGCATTTAGTGGTGCGATTGCTCTTACCAAGGTTATCGCCAGTATGTCGTCCTCCAAGCATACCAGTTGTGGAAAAATGGAGACTCAGATGTGGTGAATGAAGGTAATTTTGTTTTCTTTGTGTGCAAAGTAAAGCCTGAAAACCACTGTTATTCGTCATGCTACAACGGAATCCTTGGAGTACGTGTGCATCTCGTTCACGAGATCTCAAAGCCACAAGCTGTGTAGCGGCCTTGCGGCGTATATCAACTGAGCACAAAGACCGTTTCACTATTTTTAATGTAGTAATATCAGTTCAGTTTTTAAACTTGTTTACAAAAATGCATAAAAATGTACTGTATAGACTGGACTGTTTATACAGTTTTTTTGGGTCTTGGTAAATCCCAGTCATGTTTTTGTGTGTGTGTGTGTGTGTGTGTGTACACACACATTATGGCCCCAGTCTCATTTTATCCCACCTTAGCCAGGGATGATTATAGGATTTTCTTGAAGTAGTGGGCATAACAGGCATATAATTCATACAGATGGGCCATCATTATCATTAGCCAATAGTATGTTTTGAATTGGTGAATGACGGGGGGTGGGGGGGGGGGGGGGATCTGGGGGCTAGTCAGCTTTCAGCTGCGGCTCGTGCCCCTGCGCCCCCCTGCCTATATATACGCCCCTGACCTTAGCACTTGCACAAGCAACGTAGATCATCACGTCTGTTCAGATGTGTTTACAAAGCACAATGTTACACGTGGTTCTAAAATGCCTTTGTATGTGGGGTTCAGGAGACAAAATGTTTAAAAACCACTAAAGTAACTTTAATAAGAAAAACAACAAATGTGCCCCTTGTCTCTTTCTAAATATCCAAGAAAGGACCAGCGGACAAGTTTTGACTAGTAACTGCAGAAAATAATTCTGAGCTTTGAAACTTGAAGCGGTGTTTTGTTGTACACTGACTACAGAGCCATCCCCTGGTATCCCAGAAAAAAAAATATGTATGAATACACACAAAAATATGTATTTTTGACATATGTCAATATATGGATCTGGTATTAGAAATGTTGAGTATTGTCACATTTCATAAATGTATTACTGTATGATGAATACTGTAATACGCAATAGTTCAGTGGCAATGTGTATATTTTTAGTATTTTGATGCATATTATGACATATGTTAAGAATGTTATTTTTCTATGACATTTATACATGTAACTTTTTTGTAAATTGAATATGGTGAGGGATTACCAAGCAAATAATTGAATGTAAACCACCTTTTTTAAAATATGGAGGCACATGTGTATGTAAGCCATGAATGTTGTAATAAACCTGTTTATTTATTGATGAAATTCATTGTGTTTTTTTTTTTTTTATTTTAAGTTTTTGTCTAGCTAATCGGCGTACTGATTCAGAAAACATACTAGAAACCCAATTGTTTGCCCTAGAGTCACCGCCCCCTCCCCCCCGACCCAGGATTCTTTGGGCATAAATCACAAGGGGATCTACAGTACCAAGGCAGCAACATCAGAATCTTGGGCTGAAAATAGTCGATCAGTGACAATGCAAACAGCAACAGACAGAGCAGGAAAAATGTGTCACATTTAAAATTTATTTTACTACACGCACAAAAAAAAACTAAAAATTGTCAGGGAACTGGTCCATTTCTTTCTTTATTCTGTTTTCCACTAGCAGCATAAGACTGGAGTCTGTGGATGGAAGACTGTAGCTGACAAACACCTGCTTTTTTGTTTTCTTAGCTGGAACAGAAAAAAGGACAAGATGAAAACTGGAGAGAATGTAAATTGCAGTTATATTTTCCATCTTTGACACATATGTATAACTTGGAATATCTGTAGGCTGCCCAGGAACTCAATAAATGCAAACATGTTGTGGAATAAAGTCACGTAAATACCCAGTACATATTTTTAACATTTTAAATCCTATTGATCTGTGGTGCGTTTCCTGAAAGCAATTGATCTTAGCGAATAACAACTGAGATCGTCAGGGTTTCCCAAAACCCTTGGTAATTCTGGAATTAACAAAAAAATACGAAGTATTGAGAAGAGCACAGACTGTCGATAACAGGAACATCGATCCCATGTATTTCAATGGTGAAACATGTCATATGATTGTCACATCAGATTATAAACATATATAAACTAATTAGACAATAAAAACACAGGAAAGCAACCAAAATTAAGACCAAAATAAAAGTAACCTATCTGTGTATAAAAGATCAATAGCAGGCAGCAATAGGAAAAGGAAGTAATAGTTCTCAAAAGAAGCTTCAAAGCAAGTTATTGAGGAGGTGATCAAAAATGTATCTGAATAAAATATTTACTGCAACAATGTGCAGCATAGCACACACAGCAAGAAAAGCACAGCAGCATTCAGGGGGAAATCTTAGAGCTCTGTAGGCACCAGAATCACATCCTCTACAGCAGTGTGTGTCTTTGGTGTGCAGCGTTACACCTCTACTCAGCCACCGTTTGGAGATTCAACACTGGAGTCAGCAGCTACTCACTAAGAGGATACCTGCTGTCTCCCAATAAGCAGCCACCAGCAAACACACCATCCTTTGCCATCTGACACACTCCAAAGCTGGACCAGATATAAGCATCATGTGTCCTCCCAGGCCACTTGGTGACAATGTCTGTAAAATGTCCTTGCTGGTTGCGCATCACCTGGACATTTAAGCCTAGTGCCAATAACCCTTTTCAACAGTTGCAAGTGGGATTCAAGGGGCTGCATATATGATCAGGGTTGTTCCATCCACTGCACCTACAATGCCAGTTTTAGTGTCATACAAGGCATCCCCTCCTGCTGGACATTGTATGTAGTTGTGCACACGGTGCAACAGAAGTGTGATCACTGCATGTGCAGTTGCAGGACACAGCAGCCTTGCTGATGCCACGTGCATCTGTAGGTCTGCAGGAATCCTCCAGTGGTATAGAAGCAGAGAGCTGTCAGAAGCTGCATGCTGCACTGAGGGCAAAGTTCCAGTGTGTTTCTTTTCTCAATTTATCCTGCACCAGACCAAAGAGGCTCATTTCACCCCAGGCGAGCCTGTATTTCTCTATGAACTGTTCATTAATGAGATGGTCCAAGGGGTTCATGGTCACCTATAAAAGCAACTTGGATTTCTGGATGGCACTGTCTCAAAAGCTCTTTACTGTTGACTTGCACAATTCTCTGCCACTGCTGGTCGTGAGAGTGATTCACCTTCCCAATTCAAAAGATGTGACTGAACACAGCAAGTTTGATTGGTTAACTCATTATGTAGCTTACCAGGGTTGTTCAGAATTTATGAATTGGATTTTGAATTGACTTGGCTACACCC